AAAAAAAAAAAAAAGAAAAAAGAAAAAGAACCTTTTAGAAATTTAAAAAAGCTTATAGAATAAGAATATTTAAAAATACAGTATTTTGTGTAGCTATACGTGTTTGTGTTTTAAGCTAAGTTTGTGTATAGCTATACAATGTGTTTGTGTTTTAAGCCAAAAGAGTCAAAACATTAAAGCAGTTTTAAAGTTTATAAAGTAAAAAAGTCATAGTAAGGTAAGGTTAATTTGTCATTGAAGAAAGACATTTTTCTTTCTTTTTTTTTTTAACTTTTTTTTCTTTTTTAAATAGAGACGGGGTTCCACCATGTTGGCCAGGCTAGTCTTGAACTCCTGAACTCAGGTGATCCACCCGCCTTGGCCTCCCAAAGTGCTGGGATAACAGGCGTGAGCCACTGCACCTGGCCGAAGAAAGACCTTTTTAAACATGAATTTAGTGTAGCATAAGTGTACGGTGTTTATAAAATCTACAGTACATTTACTCACCACTCACTCACTGACTCACTCACAGCCACTTTCAGTACTGCAAGCTGCATTCATGGTAAATGCCCCATACAGGTGTACCATTTTTTTAATCCTTTTTTTTCTTTTTTCTTTTTGAGCCAGGGTCTTGCTCTGTTACCCAGGCTAGAGCGCAGTGGTGTGATCATAGCTCACTACAGCCTCGATTTCCTGGGCTCAAGCAATCCTCCCACTTCAGCCTCCTGAGTAGCTGGGACTACAGGCACATGCCACCATACCTGGCCAATTGTTTTATTTTTGGTAGAGATGAGTCTTTCTAATAGAGTCTTTCTAATCTATGTTGCCCAGGCTGGTTTCAAACTCCTGGGCTCAAGCAATCCTCCCACCTTGGCCTCCCAAAGGGCAGGGATTACAGGTTTCAGCCATATTTTCCATGGTGTTATCATTGCCTACACTTTTCCGTACAGTAATATGCTGTGGAGGTTTAAGGCCTAGGAGCAATAAGCTATACCATGTAGCCTGTATATGTAGTAGACATCTAGTTTTGTGTAAGTGCACTCCATGATGTTCACACAATGACAAAATTGCCTAATGATGCATTTCTCATAACATATTCCCATGGTTACATGATGCATGACTCTTATTAGAACTAGGTAAAAACCCCTGTACCACTGGGATGGGGAGTTTCACCTCTCTGTTTCACCTCCTCTCTTACTTCTTCGTGTTGATGCTTCTCAGGAACATTTTCTGGCTTTTTTCTGTATCTGCAGTGTCTCTGGAGATGATATCAAGTCCAGCGGCCTTAAATAACATCTATATGCTGATGATGCTAATTTTTATCTTCAGACAAGCTCAAGATTTGTATAGCCACCTATCTGCCAATTTGACACCTTGATCTGAATGTGTCATAGACATTTGATACATATTCAAAACATAATTCTTAATTCCCATTCTTCCAACAAACTCATTCAATCACAAATGAATATACCCTTTTCCCTTTCTCTTTAGAAGGATCATCCTGCTTCCTCCTTTTACTCCCCTCCCACAGGAGTCTTAACACTAAGTCCAACTGATTCTGTCTCCAAAGCATATCTTGTAACTGTTCGCCATTCTCCATCTTTATTCCTAGCCTCTATATTCAAGTGTGCTTAATATTCATTTCCTTCCTCTTAGTTCCAAACTACTTCTCTTTGTCCTACTTCATGGTACTGGAGATGTACCTGCAAACTACGTTTTTCTCTCGGATACATGGCTTTATATTAGGTTTGGTCAATTAGGGGCTAAGGGTATGCTGAAGGGATTCTCAAGGTTGGAGAAGGGAAAAGGGACATATCTTCTCCTGCTATTTTTGCCTTCTCCACGTGATAGTGAATGGATCAGCACACACCTGGCCCTGGCAGTATTCCTTCTGGTGATGAATTGCTCCCATGGTTCCAGCAAGTGAATGTCCCCTGGAGGTTTCTTCTTCACCCCAGCAGTGGGTGAGATGTTTCTGCAGTAGCTGAACCATCTCCTTAGAGGCCCAAATCTTAGCCTGCTGCAGTCCTTTCTACATTTCTAAGTTTCCTCCTTGTTTATTTCTCCTTTCATCTTAAGAGTGATAGCTGTAGTCTGAGGTTGCTACCTCTATTACACCATACGATTCTCTTTTATCCTTTTTAGTGGTTAACCACCCTTTTACCAAGTTAACAGTTCCTTATGATTATACTTTCCTTATTTGAATGACTGTGGTTTTTGTCTCTTGACCAGACACTGGACTCATGGCAGTAGTGATCGCTGCAAGGACTGTGGCGCAGGATGGATATTTCTGAGTGTCGTGGATGCTTACAGACAGAAGGTGAAAAGCTCAGGTTCTGAAGCTCTTGGTTCAGTTCTTGGTCTGAGAACTAGAGAATTTCCATGGCAGCCCTAAAATAACCTTTTATTTCTTGTAGCCACAGGGTTGAGATTGTTAAAAATTAAACACAAAATTTAATTTTACAGGTTGCAGAACTACGACATCAGTAATTTTGTTGGGAAGTGAATGCTGGGTTTCTCATGTGAAAGTTAGGTCCTTGATTGGGAAGGAAGGAGACCCCAAAACTTGGAAAGGGACATCTGGTTGGTCTCAAATGAGAGTGAGAATCTTGAACCCCTGAGTTGCTCTGAGTCTCCCTTGCCAGGGTGAGTAGCTTGCCCTTGTATATCTGCAGGGTTTTCCCCCTCAAAAGCCCTGGTTCATCTGGAGCAAATACTTCACAAACAAGAGGATGCCCACTCTCCTCGGAACCTACCTCAAATACCCTTTATTGCCACTAGACCCGTCACCAGGGTCAGTTGTCATCATATTCCAGTGGCTGGGAAGTGGCAGCAGGTCTCTGTCTATAACTCTGGCACTGAGCCCAGATTCCCAAATTTGCCCCTTATTCCAGAGGGTCCCTGATTGCTATACAGAGGAAGTACGGGCCAAGATAACCTAACCAAACACCAGGTTCCAGATTCTCAAGCAGTCTATTTCAACACCATGGTTTTGAAAAGTAAATTTGAGAGGTAATTTTAAGGCTCTTACATAGAAGAATTCTCCCCAAAGAAACATATCTATCGTGATTATTGTTCAATTCTGGACCTCTCAGCATTGTTTTCTTGCTTTGTCAGTTACAAAATAAATAATTCTAGCTTTCTGAAGGTAGAGTAGGATGTGTGACTAATTTACAGAGAAGCATCTCTAGTGGAGGATAAACAACACGAAGTATGTAATTCTGGCTGGGTGAGGTGGCTCATGCCTATAATCCCAGCTTTGGGATGCCGAGGTGGGTGGATCACCTGAGGTCAGGGGTTCGAGACTAGCCTGGCCAGCATGGTGAAAACTTGACTCTACTAAAAAAAAAAATACAAAAATTAGCCAAGCATGGTGGTGGGCACCTGTAATCCCAGCTACTCGGGAGGCTGAGGCAGGAGAATCGCTTGAACCAGGGAGGAGGAGGTTGTAATGAGCCAAGATTGCACCGTTGTACTTCAGCCTGGGCAACAAGAGTGAAACTCCATCTCAAAAAATAAAATAAAATAAAGTACATAATTATGTTTGGAGGCACCAAGAAGAAATGATATTGGTGTTGTCTTTTTATATAAAGTTAGATTATGAATGATATTGGTGTTGCCTTTTTATATAAAGTTAGTTATTTAATATTTAAAACAATTTACAAAGTTAAATGTTTTATATATCACATTTTCCCCCACTTATTCATTCATTCATTTATTCAGTAAGCATTTTGCCAGTCTTTGTGCAACGTGCTGGTATAAAGCCTTGATGAGTTTATACTGTGATGTTCTTTTCCCTAACCTCTTTTCCTATATTTGCTCATTTATTTGTCATTCCATTTTCTCTAAACATTTCTTCTTTCCTATTTTTTCTCTTACATTATTTAAGTGTGTTATAAAAATAATTATTATCAGCTAACACCCTTTTTGGCCTTAGCCCACCTGCACCCAGGTGAATATTTAAAAAAAAAATTGTTGTCTGTTAAGATTCAGCTATCCCAAATTAGGAAGATATGGATTTTGAATAGTTCTTATAGCTGTAGTGGGCTGCATGCCTGCATTTTGCCTTTGTCACTAACAGCACCTGCTTATGGGACAATCAGAGGCACAGGAGTAGTAGAAGCAAAGTTAGGTACCCTACTGAGATTAATTCCATAATGTTGGACACTAAGCTGTAGCCGTCCGCCCTTTCAAAGTCTACCCTTCTATTGCTGCAGCATTAATTAGTACAATTCCTACTTCTCTCTGAAACAATTTTAGTTTTAGGTCATTCTCTCTGCCTAGCTACCTTGCCCATATGAAGTCTAGAAAATTTTGTTACACAGAGGTGTGCCACTTGGAAGAAAACAGTGTGGAAGGGCTCCATTAAGCATAATCCGAAAACGTAAAACCATGTGTTTACCATTAGCCTAGAATGAACACTTGGGGGATGGGGACTCCTGCTGTGTGTTTTCTTGTGGCTGCCTAGCACATGATGTCTTACTTGCCCAATAAGTCTGTTGTGTTTGCTTAATACATGTTTACTGACAGCAATGAATAAACACTTAGAAGCTAGGCTGGGTGTTTTAACAGTCAGGTGAACAAATTCTGTGAGAACAAACAAATAAGAGTGACTTCCTTTTTCACCTTCCTTCCCAAGCCAGGTTTTATTTTTTTATTCCAGCCTTGTAACCTAAACTGGAGTAAGACACTGTGGCGCCAAGGTGGAAAAACGCTGAAAACAAGGCCAGAGATGAGAGACACGTACACCTCAGGCTGTTTCATAGCAGGCGTTTAGTAAAGAGATTACTTTTAGTTTATTTTGGCCCATACTCACTCTTCAGAGCAAGTGGAATGAGACAAATCTGGAAACCTGGGCTCAGTGCCACAGTTACACTCAGAGACCTGCTGCCACTTCCAGGCTGCTGGAACAAGTTGAAATTGGACTCTAGTTATGAGTCTAGTGGCAATAAGAAGTGTTTGTGGTAGGTTTTGAGGAGAATGGTCATCCTCTCTTTTGTGAGGCAACTGCTCCAGGTGAGGCAATTACAGGGTTTTCAAGGGGGTAAAAAAAAGAAAAGACTTCTTAAAGACACAGAAGGGCAAGATTCTTTTTCTAGAAGCTTATTAGCTTTAAACTTTATAGCCTATGATCCATTTTGAGTTCCTTTTGTATAAGGTGTGAGTATAGGTCAGGCTTATTCTTCATGTGTATGTATGTATGCATGCATGTATTTGTGTGTATATGTATGTATGAATTTATGTGCATTTGACTGTTCAAATGTTCCACTATCATTTGTTAAAAATACCATAATTTCTCCACTGAATTTCTTTTGCTCCTTTAAAAAAATCAATTGACCATAAATACAAAGGTTTATTTCTGGACTGTCAATTCTATTTCATTGATTTATCTTTTCCTTTGCCAATACCACACGATCTTGACTACTATAAAGTCTTGAAATCAGGTAGTATGACACCTCCAATGTTGTGATTTTTAAAAATATATATTTTATTGCGTTTTAGGTTTTGGGGTACATGTGAAGAACATGCAAGATTGTTACATAGGTACATACATAGCAATGTGGTTTGCTGCTTTCCTCCCCATCGCCTATATCTGGCATTTCTCTCCATGTTACCCCTCCCCAACTCCCCACCCCCTGCTGTCCCTCCCCTATTTCTCCACCACAGACCCCAGTGTGTGATGCTCCCCTCCCTGTGTCCATGTGTTCTCATTGTTCATGTGTTTTGTTTTCTTTTTTCTTTTGGCTAATCTGGTTCTTTTGGTTTTCTATCTAAGACTTTTT